GGGAAGAGTCAAGTCGAATGCGGAGAAAGGATACGAAGAGGGATAAAAAGTGTAGAAGGGATGGATCCACTCGGCTTATTCGCCGGCGACAAGGATATCGTGAGTAGAGGTACATCTCGGGTTCCAATAAACGTTTCTATTCGAGTTTCTCAATAATTTCAGATTTGATGTAATTATATGAAATTTGCAAATAATTTCGTGCGACTACGATATATAAAGTAAGGATATATATAGTAAGGAATTGATAGGGAGAAAAAAGAAAAATTACCTAAGATTATATTAAACGCGTCTATTTGTGTCCCTTAAAGAATCCCTGACTTAAAGTGTAATTATATGCAATTTGCAAATAATTTCGTAATAATTTCACTAATAATAAATAATTTATCATGTGTGATCACAATTTATAAAGTAACAGTAAAGAGTCAATAGAAAGGAGAAGAGAAATTACTCAGTAGCAAATTTTAATTCACCTGAAAATTAATTTATAATACATCGTGAAACACCGAGACTCAAACTCTACATGAACGTAGTATTTATCTTATATTGTGTGTTTGTGAATGCAAGTCTGCGATATCGCGTGCAACGAAGAACGCGGGTAAGGAGAGTGGATAGTGTACGGGAAACGGTAAGGTTCGCTCGGGTACGATTGTCTACCGAGAAGAGAGGGAAGGAGAAGGAGAGGAAGAGAGAGAGAGAGAGAGAGAGAGAGACGGCGAATTTTCCTAGATTTAATTAATATTTCATTTGCATGCTATTTCTCGCTTTGAGCAGCTTCGTATTGCGTCGCGCAACCGTGATCTTAGCCGGCGAACTAACACCCCGACGCGAAGTGAGTACAGCCGCTACGTCATCTATCTACGTGCACCTCGACATCTCATATCCACACGTACACTCGTGTATACACGATACCTGCACATATACACACATACACACACACACACAGAACCGGACGTTTATAACGGAGTCGAGAATGCGGGGCGGCGCGAGTCTCTCGTGAAACAGCGTGGTGCTCTCTGTATTTCAATTTAGCACGTCCATTGTTAGATACTAATATTATTCAGTTGGGAATTGTTTCGCGACGCCCCTCGGAAGGAGGACGACGGGTAGAAAGAAAGGGCGGGGAAGAAGGGAGTCTCGATTTGCACCGGCGCGACCTCGCCGTCGTTGCCCCCGGGGTCCATCTCACCCCGTTCTTCCTGTCCTCGGCTGCCGCCTTCCTCCACCCCGCGTCGCCGAACAGGATGACAAACCAATGAGATCTCTCGATGAGGAGAATTTCTTCGCGAGAGGTACGCAAGTCGACGCAGTCGTCGAAGCTGGGATACACAGAGAAACTATTGTGCAACACGTTCGTGAAGTCTTTGACATGGAAATTTGCTTGAATGCCACATTCTTTCCTTTATAATTTGATTTTATCAAAAATTATCATTATCTGAAAACACGAATGATGGAGAATTGCTTGGATCATACCGAACAAATCTGATAACTTTAAAGAAGAAACATAATATCGAGCGATTTCTTCGAATCGCTCTAATCATTGATGCTAAATATCATCGACGAAAATCTGTTTGACTGTCACATAAACTCGGAAAAACATGGTTAGTGGCAACTATATAAGTTTTTATGTGTGTAGAATTGTAGTTCAATAAATTATTTTTTAGTTATTGCAACTAAAGCTCTAGTTTGATAAACTACTTTGCAAGTTATTGCAACTGAAGCTTTAGTAGCAATCACAACAAAATGGTCTATCAAACTGCACACACGAATTCTACGTACAAAACTCGCGTAGTTGTCACCCACGTAGTTACCATGCCTTTTTCTCTGAATGTACTTTCTCGCATATTTTTCAAAATTAAATTATCTTTCACATTTATCTCGCAATCTATCTATGTAATTCTCCAGCCGAGGGAACGCGTTTCTCGTTATATTAGCTGATAAAGTTAAAAAAGAGGTATACGTATTATCGTTCAACTTTGGATCGTTCTGGGTCGCGGAAAGGGTCGAGGGAACATGTTGAGAACGTGATATTACCAAGTGGCACCCGGCAAAAGGACACCCGATCTCCGTTACAGATGTCATCCTTCGCACACATTAAATCAGGCAGATACACACACACACATACGTCATACCTGTGTACGCAGGTTGGTGGTACCTTCGGGGACCTATCGTTCCATGGCGCGAGCAAACACGGCGCCATGTTTGCCGACGTTCGGCAACACTTTATTCTCTCTTCCGATCCGAAGAAGAAGGCCCGAAAGATCTCTCCTGTCGATTGGCTTCCACGCACTCGTACGCATATTTACGCGGGCCCGACGTGTAACCGACGTACGAAAACACGCGTGTGGGTGCGCGTGTGGACCCGCGCTTAGGGTTGGCTGGGGTAGAGGGGAAGCCCTCTCGGTTCTCTCTCAGCGGTGGAAAAAGACGAGATGGAAATAGCGAGCGAGGGAGCAAATATTGATGGAAGTCGAAAAAATGTTAAAAGCCGTCCGACTCGTTATTCGGTCAGCTATATTTTACGAGGACGAAAATTTTCGTCGTTTCGATAAGAAAAAAAAGGGAGGGGAGAAAAAAAGAAGCAGTCGAGGAAGTAAGAAATCCTCGTTGGGATTATGTAACGTCGTCGTGCCGTCTCGACAAATCTTACCAGTCTCGGCTAAATTTAAAATTACGGCTTTACGGGATATATGCGTAATAGCATTTTAGCGTCTTTCGGGCTCTTGCTCGTCAAGATACTTCCCTCCATACTATCACCTTCATCCTACGAGTCTTTCCAAGCTACTTCCTGTTGTTGCAGTTCCAGTAATTATGACGAAGCGAATCGTATGATAATCATATAATAATCGCTCGCTTCACTACAAAAAAAAAATAAAATAGCTCTAATGCATTTTTCCCGATTGTTAATCGAGACTAACTCTCGAATCTAATCTCGCGGAAGGATAGAGCAGAGGGATTTTAAATATCCGGACTCGTCGACGCGAGCACAATTCGATAAACAATCTCAGCACCTCGGGCTCACCTTTGCTTTCGAGAGAGCCTGAAATTACGGTTCCTCTATCATGCCGGCGTTCCCCTTTCGCAACAACCGGATCGGTTTCCAACTCTAACAACCCCTCGTTCCACCCGGTGGCTTAAAATTCCTGGCTGCAGACGCGAAGAAGGTAGGGGGTTGTTGCACTATCCGACTGCGGATTAAGCTCGCTCGTCGAAGATGAAAGGAGAGAGAGAGAGAGAGAGAGAGAGAGAGAGAGAGAGAGGCGGGGAGGGAGGAAGGAAAAGAGAGAGAATGTGAGAGAGAGAGGAAGAGAGGGAGGAGAGCACTATTATGCTCCATTATGAATGGTAACCAGTAGCCAAAGGAGGAAACTCCGCGGGGTGTCGATATATTGCCACCCCTGGAAAACCGAGCGGCCATGCCTCGTAAATAATAACCGGGCATTATAATGCTCGTGTGTGCAGCGCGCACGCGGGCACAAATTGCCGGGTATATAACGTCGGGCGCGTGTTCAGGCATCGACCTATCGGATATGCGCCTTGTAGAGGCCAGTCGATTATCGGTGTCCCATCGATATATACCGTGCACCTAAGCCTGCCGGGTACACACCGTCGACGTAATAGCCGAAGTAGCTGTTATCACGTAGCCGTGTCGACGACGAGGATCGACTTGCCTTCCGGCGAAGTCGCGCGAGAGAGACGCTCTTCGAGCGAGACTATCTGATCGCCGATGTCTCGAATCATTTGGCTTCGTTGCCTTTAACAAAGTCGCTCGAGAGGAAGAGAGGAGAAAGTTCTGCGAAAATCATAATTGAAAGCGTTAAGTTGTGATTGGAGTTCAGTTATTAACATTATGTGAAATTGCGTGTGTTCGAAGCCGAATGAAGTTGAACTCGAAATTCGATTGTCGACATGATTCGTTAGTGGTAGGTATGAGAGCCAAAAGATGAACGCATTATTTTCCGTATAGGCAATCGAAATTTTGAATGCAGAAATAATAACTTAATTTTCTTAAGATCTGATGTCCCGCAATTACGATTTGCGAGTTGCAGCAGAATTTGTCGCGCGCTTCAAGCAATACGTCTCTCTCTCTCGCTTTTCGTTCTCTCCCCCTTACGCTATATTTAGCTGAAATTTATTTTACTTTTATCTATTTTTATCATGTAACAAGTGCAAAGCAATTGTTGCACGCAATTCGAAATTGACGTATGGAATTGCCTGAAGGTTGCACGGATAAACCACAAGGGCCTCCGCGGGGAAGATGTGCGTGCACTGCGTGGGAAACTTGATAATGGTCGCCTTCTGCGACTGTATCCGTGCAAATTGAGCGGCAGAATTGACTGCTCGCATTGACCGGGATTAATTTATCGGAAGCGAACAGCGCGTTTCGAGATCGATCGACCGTGAAACGATTTTGGGAATTCGACGGTGTCGCGTATCCCATTTCTTCACCTGCGAACGGCGTCCGCCATCCGATACCTTTCCCTCTGGTTCGCTGTGAAATTTCCATTCAGCCGGAAGACGGCCTTTCGTGAAATCAGTCCTCGCTCTTTATCTCTCGCATCTGAAGAGACACGTGTTCCGGTCTTTCTGTCATAACGAATTGTGCTCCTGTTGCGGACGGCCTCGTGGAAAATCGCGATGTTTTTAGTGAAATATAAATTGCTGGGTATCGTATTTTTCACGATTTTTGAACAAAATTGGTGCAAGAAATGAGCACTTTTTAGAATGATATAAATGATCTAGATTGCCACGCGGAAGATTAAATTATATCTCATTGATACTTGATAAGAACTAAATATCGAGAGAACCGTGTTAATAGAATCTTGACAAAAATATAGTTGAAAGCGCAGCGTAAATTTAATAAAAATCCGAATGAATTGCTCGATGGCATGTCTCTTCGCGTAAAGAATTAATTTGGCGGGTTCAATGGAGTATACACACAAACTCGCGCACGTTCCATACACACACACACATACACAAGCAAATGAACAGAATATGGAGTATCAATATCTTATTTATTGGATGTATCTTCGTTCTATACATTCTTTTTCGAGTAACATGAATGGTAACTATGCAGAACGATGCCTTCCGGTCGCTAGCGGCCCAAAAATCTAGATATCTTGCAGGCGTTATACTTACAGGCAAACACTTATGTGTATATTTACGCGCGCTCCAAAACACGTTTAATTATTCCGGCGAAGTCTCAGATTAATGCAATGTAATTAGCTAGAATAGCGGATGTATTTACACAGACTCACCTCACCATCTCCCTCCGTGTTCGCTGATATTACTCTTCGTCGAGAGACCTACACACACACGCACACACATATCTGCCTATCTGATAAGTCTTTATCTACACATGTATAAAGTATAATCCCGGTGAGACGAATCGGCCCGAGTGTGAATCTCCCATCATACTTCTCCTCTTTCTTTTCTTCTTTTCTTTCTTCTTCGTTATTTTCCCTTCGTGTTTCGATCGCGTCGCTCACTCGCCGAAGTCAACGTAGAGACATTCCGACTCTCGATCATCTCCATCGCGCGTCCTCTACCTCCGATTGCCGATCCGCTTCGACGTGACGGCGATTCCGCGGCGAGAAATGCATGAATTGCGTAGACACTAAAGTAGATTGTCAGACGACTGTCTTGGACATCCCGGCGCGAACATCTTTCGTAGCGCCTTCCTCTGGAGACAACGGCGTGTTGACTCCTTTATTGTCTTCATTGGAACAGCCTCTTTGCGACGTCGTATCCGGCGGTGTGTCGGCAGGTCGCAGACATCGATGATCCAATCCGTGTCGGGATCTCTTCTTGAGACGGTTTAAACTTCACGGGTCTCCAAATGATAGTGGTCAGCCTCTTCCTCGTTTACATTGCGTATTGGGCACTGGCTGTGCCCACGGAGTCACGCGCTCTTCTCTCTTGATCGCGCTCTTCCGTTGGTGAAACGTCGTTCAACGAACCCGCCGGCAGACTCATTCGCAGTCGGTCTAGGTGGGATTTAAGGACGAACACTGACCGACCCGCAAAGAGGAGAAAATAGAGAAACTTCTCTCGCTTCATGAATGCATGTAGCGCACTGCCATTTTCACTTATTCAAGCTCTTACGCTGCTCCGCGCGTTCGAAGGCCGAGCGAGCTTACTCTCGGTAGACTGGAACTCGTCTGACGGGCAGGTACGATCAGCTGACGACCCATTTCGGCGAGCAGCTGGTCTTACCGTCGCCAAGCAGTTCCTCAGCAAGCGTTGCCGATTCCATCGACGCGTAATCTCTACCTTCCGGCGATCGCTTCATCTTCTTCCTGAAAGATCCGCTTCTAGTTCGGACAAAGCTGAACGATCGCGTCGTCATTTCGGAGGACGATTTCCGGCTGGCTAGCCGAACTGCACACATCGAGGTGTGGAGAGCGAGCGATTCTTCATCGCGTTGCCGTCGCGAACTCGAGGAAGTGAGAACGACGTCGACGTTGTCGTTGTCGTCGTCGTCGTCATCCGTTTGGGCACTACTGAAGGTACGACCAGGCGGCGCGGTGACCTGGATCAGGTCACTCGGAGTAGCTGGTCTTGTCGCTGGCGTCGTCGGGGCTGGTCTCCCGGTAGGCGTCGCCGGTGCCGTTGGCGTGCAGGCTCTGGTTCGGCGGCTTGATGACCGTGGGCAGGTAACCGGTGCCGGTGTACGGCGCCGCCAGGAAGCGGTGCCGCGTAGACGGTATCGGGGTGGTGCAGTACGCGGCGCGGCTCGCGTACGCCGCCGAAACGGACGCGGACGCCGCGGCGGCCGACGCCAGGGCGCCCGCCAACGGCGAGAACGCCGACTTCGGCTGCAGACTGTCCTCGCAGACCAGCACCTCCATGGCCGACACCACGTCGCCTGCGACACACGGACAAATTCTCTCGGTCTTTTTTTTCTTGCCCCACCTTCCTTCCGAACGCGAGCTCTGAGCTCGCGGGTGAGAGGAAATAATAATGCCGGGGAGAGACGAGACGTGTCGTGCGAAAGAGGGAGTGCAACGAGATATGTGACGCGACACACTGAGAAGAAATGGCTGAGAAAAATGTGCGTTGGTATTTGTGACTTTAATTACAGAGTCGGGGGACTTTTGTAACGAGCGCTAGTCGGGAAACTCATTTTAGTAATAGACGCTCTACTACGCTGGGTGAAAAAATATCTAAGAAATAAAAGACACTTATTCGCGATAGATAGTAATAACGCATATCTGCTTATATTAGTACAAAATATTTTTCATATAAGAAGATACTACACTGAGAGAAAACTGTATGATATTTGGAACTATAATGGCATAGTAAAAAGATTATAATATAACTAAAAAACTCTTCTTGAGTATATCAACATTAACCTAAGGACAATTAGAGTTCACGCACAGGTTGTATAGTGCTATTATAAACTATTGAAACATAGTGACACAATCTCGCCATGAGAACAAATTTTATTAAATATCATACGCGTTTCGGTCTCATTTCACAGACCCTCTTCAGTGATTACAAGTAATGTTATAGTGTCGCAAAAAATAAAAAATCGCAAAAGTTAGCGTTAACATTGGTTGTTACAGAATTGTCGCTACAAATTTTTTTGTCTACGGGATTCGGAAGCACAAACATAACATATCATTTACACAATGAAATGTTTCATTTTCGGAAGCTACCGACAATTTATTCCGAGACTGGTCACTCCATCGCACGTACTAAGATGCTGTGGTATGATCATCTAAAAAACGTATTCAGATAGAGCAACCAACCCCAATGTGAGGGAAAAACAAAATAATGATATCTACCTCGATAAAGGCCAGAGAGTTCCGGTGAGATGTTACGCCTATGAACGTGTACCTCCGAATGCCGCAAACAATACAGAATCCAGTGTTTATATTTACTTCGTAACCGCAAACGAAATACGATCTAAGTCAAACCGAGTAACATGTAACATTTTCCTAAATTCTCAGTGTCAGTATGAGAATTCAGTCCATGCGTCTGCATTTTTATAAAAATCATCTCTGCAATCATTCTTTTATAAAATAGATGTTCCTTATGCAAAACTTTGACATTATCCCATTTAAATTCGTGGCTGTAATTAACACGGTGCTCTTGTACGACAGAGAGATGCGAAGTAAGGTCTCGAGGTAGTCGTTTATGTTCAGATACACGAGTTTATAATAGCACTATACAACCTGTGCGTGAACTCTAATTGTCCTTAGATTAATGTTGAAAAAGATTATAGTTAGAAATATAATTTTTATAGTAAATGTTACCATATTATTTGTAATATTTACAATATAAGCATAGTATAACTGACCCGTATAAAATTTTTACCAAGAATTATAATTGTTCGAAATAAAAAATATAGTAAGGTAGCAAATATTGAATGGTAAGAGAAATTAACTATTTTATATAGTCAATACAATTGGAATATTTGGCAAATATAGGTACATGTAACTATATTCCCAAAAGGGAATATGCTTTACCATATATATAGAGTAATAAGATGGTGACTATAAATCTGTGTTCATTCTACTATATCTTCATGTTTAGATGAACCATAAATATATGTTTGAGGCCAAAACGAACTATAAAATATAGTGAGATTATAGTTATTCCAACTATCTTTTTCTCTCAATGTACTGTGTCCAAAAAGTAAGACCAATTTAAAATTTTTTTATTAATCTTTATTTATTATTCCAAATCTATTTCGTCGCCTTCAAAGTAATCCCCCTCAGACACAATACACTTATGCCAACGTTTTTTCCAACCCTACGGTTGGAAACCGTATTACGTGATGCATATAAACCCACACTGCAGTGATAGATATAAACCCACCATCTCACACACTGCATTGGTTCTTCGAGCCCATTTCGCTAAAAATTCGACCCATATCGTTCCACAACCATCATATTCACCTGATTTAGCACCGTGTGACTTCTGGCTATTCCCTAAACTCAAAAGACCGCTCCGGGGACACCGTTTTGACTCGATTGAAGAGATACAAGCTGAATCGAAGAAAGCTTTGAAGGCCATTCCGGAAATCGACTTTAACAACTATTTCGAGGGTTGGAAAAAACGTTGGCATAAGTGTATTGTGTCTGAAGCGGATTACGTTGAAGGCGACGAAATAGATTTGGAATAATAAAGATTAAAAAAAAAAATTTTAAATTGGTCTTACTTTTTGGACACAGTACACTGAGAGAAAAAAATAGTTGGAATAACTATAATCTCACTATATTTTATAGTTCGTTTTGGCCTCAAACATATATTTATGGTTCATCTAAACATGAAGATATAGTAGAATGAACACAGATTTAGATAGTATATAATTTTCTGAAAATCTCAGCTTTTCGTGAAAACAAGTGTTTACCCTATTTAAAGAATTTAGATTTAAGCGAATATGTCATTAAAGTAGTATCAAATATAGATCAAATATTGAGTATCAAATATTGAGATCAAACATAAGATGAAAATTTCGACTCGAGATAATCGATTTGAAAAGAATCCCTCGAACTCTTCGGTCGTCTCGGGAAAGGCGACAAGAAACAAACACAAAATCCTACCTTTGCAACGATGGAGGAGCGCCTCGACGTCGGCGCGACGTCTTCCGGGGAACACGCGCAGCAGAACGTCCACCGGCGAGCGTTGCTGCTGCTGCTGTTGTTGCTGCTGCTGTTGCAGCTGCTGCAGTCCGCAGGTCTGCTGGATGTTCTGCATCTGCATCTGCATCTGAATCTCTCGCGGCTCGGGTATGTGGTGATGGTGCTGGTGCTGATACAGCGCCGGCGAGCAATACAGCGAGCTCGCCGTCGGCCCGTAGAGAGGCGCATACGGCGGAAAGTGCACCGCCGTCGCCGCGGCCTGCAATCGAGCGGGAGTGTCTCGTTTGAGAATTATCGCCCGTGCCGGTATCGACCTATCTATCTCCCGCGCCTTCCAGCAGAAGGGAGGGCTTTTCCCCTTCCGTGTTTGATTTTACGTCGCGACGATTGAGACATATTAAAATATGAGGTAACAGTCCCGATTATGGGTCCGCAATATTGATTTCATATTTGCGTAATATCAATTTCTCAATCCTTATGCGTCGGAATTATAACGTCAGATCGGTTTTCCCACGCGAGTCAAAAGCAATTAAACTTCGTTAATGTCATTTATTCAGCAGACACTGGATTCGATGACACTGCAATGATCCGACCTCAAACGTAACGTCAAGATTCAAAAGAAGAGATATCTACGCACGAGACCGTACATGGTAGAGAAGATAGCAGAGAAAGTCGCGACGAAGTGAAACTAGATTAGGTACATCGAAACGCATTTTCGGCGGCAATGAGATAATTACGCGCGCGCAATCTTCGCCCCGCGAATCGACACGTCCACGTTCTATACCTTGGTAAGATCGAAACTCGCAGGACTCACAGCTAGCGAGGGTAGCGGGGGACTAGGTCTAGGCTGTACCAGATCCACCGGTTGCAAGGTCGGCTGCGTCTGCGGCGGACTTCCGCTTTTGCGTAGGCTGAGGTTCTCCGGCGCCGGGGTGTCCTCCCGCTGCGGCGTCAGGGCCGGGGTCAGCGGCGGTGTGTGCGTCGGGCTCTGCGAGCCCGGCTCGGGGCTACCCTCCTCGGAGTCGTTGAGGCTGCTGGTGCGTTTCCTCGCCACCTCGGACTCCGGCATACCCGATGACGTCGACACGACTGTAAGAAAGAAAAAAAACAGTTTCGACTGTTTCGCCACTTGACAGTGGAACTTTCGCGGAGGAACTTAATGGCTTAATTCGTGACGAGAGAGAAAGAAGGGCTGGCGAGAGAGGCAGGGAGAGGAAGAGGAGGAGAGAAGGAGAGAAGGAGAGTTACGTTGTTGGTTAGGGGAGCCAGGGAGGCAATTGTAACGAGGGGTAATTGGAACATTGACGTTAATTGCTGCTCTTGGCGTACGCAAAGTGTGAATAAGGGTTGCTATTATATTATTTCTTTCTGCCAGTTTGATATATCAGAATTTGGACATGCTTTCGTGAGCAGTTTAGAAGCAGTGTCGGCCAATAATTAATGAGAATTTTTGTTTGACTAAAATAATTGGCGATAATTGGAACATTAACGTCAATTGTTGTCCTTCGACATCCAGCTCCGATTTTCTCTACAGATGTAGTTATCGAGCAATGTTTACAATGATCGTACCCAACGAACGGTCGGCTCGCAATTCGCCGCCAGAGTCGGAATCGCGGTCGTCCTCGTTGCCGGTGTCGCTGGTCGACAAGATCGTTGTCGTCGTGCTTTCGGAGATCCTGGATCGCTTGGATCCTGAAACGGAACGCCGAACTTTCGTTGAAAGGGGCGGCCATACGAACTAATACAAGATACTAATACAGCATGGTTTCTATATAAAAACTTCAATCATTCACGAACGTTTCTTCGTCGCTGTCGTGATGTTCCGCGAAGTAGGAGAAACAAGAAGCGAACGATGAAGCTTGATCTTCAATTTGCTTCCTGCTTCTTTCTCTTTATTTTTTTCTGTTTCAGATCTTAGGTTTTGATTTATAACATGCTCTTTGCCTGTTCTTTATCCTTTTGCAACTAAAGACTCAAGGTTTATGTCAGAAAAAGATAAAGAAAAAGGAACAGAAAGCGAAGAGGACATTGTAGATCAAGCTTAAGCCTTAAGTTTGATCTACAATGTGTTCTTTGCTTCCTGCTTCTTTCTCTTTCTGACTCAAACCTTGAGTTTTAAGCCTAATCTAAAATATGCTCTTTGCTTTCTGTTTTCTGTCTTTTTTTAATTTAAGGCTTAAGATGTGAGTCAGAAAGAGATAAAGAAAACAAAACAAGAAGCAAATAACACATTGTAGATCAAACTTTAAAGCCTGGTCTACAATATGCTCTTTACTTCCTACTTCTTTCTCTTTTCTTTCTGACTCAAACCTTAAGCTTTAAACCGGAAAAAGACAGAAGACAAGAAACAGAACGCAAAGAGCACATTGTAGATTAAGCCTGATCTACAATATGCTCTTTCTGTTTCTTGTCTTCTGTCTTTTTCTGGTTTAAAGCTTAATGTTTAAGTGAGAAAGAGATAATGAGAAGGAAGCAGGAATCAAAGAGCATATTGTAGATCAGGCTTTAGACTTAACTCAAAAGAAGACAAAGAAGAAGAAGCAGGAAGCAAAGAGTATATTGCGAATTAGGCTTTGTAGCGAGGATCTTTTTACGATAAATGAGCACATCAATTTTGGCTCTCGACGAATCGTCCGGACTGTTACGAGAGCGAACGCATTAAAATCCCGTCCCGCGAGTATCCGATATTATTGGCCGGTGCTCTCGAGAGAAACCCAAGGGCGAATCGTACATCGCGATTTCTCCCTTTCCTCGCCTCGATCGAGAATCGCGGTGTACCAGTTCGAGGTTGTTAGAAATAATTGCGGGAGGTCATGCGCGCGCGCACACACATACACATACGCATACACACGTAAAAGTGGCGCACAAGCGAAGGCACAGGCATCTCGGGCGATACCGAAAGTAATACCCGAGGCTCTCTCTCTCTCGAGGGTGCCGTTATAGCACGCGTGGGCGTGTATGCACGTGCACGACCATTGAGCCGTCGGCAATGCGTGAAAGAATCCCGCGGAGCGGGCGGTGGTTGCGCGTCTAGGTGGTGGGAAGTCTGACCGCTCGTTAAAAAGTTTAACCGTCCGTTTATTAGCAGAGAAATAGAGAGGAAGAAAGGGGAGGGGGAAAAGAGAGAGAGAGAGAGGATTGATAGGTCGGGGAAATGTAGCCACGGAGTGTGCGGTTTCCGTTTTCACCCTCCTTCCCTTCAGCGCGCCTTCATCAACTCACCCTCTCGTGCGTGTGGGAGAACGGACTCTCTACTCTCCCTAGCGCGAGCGTGCTGTTTAAGCACGGTGGCGGTCCTCAACGTGTGCTCAAAGCGCGATTTTTCCGTGGTGCGCGCGGCGAATTACGTTTCTCGACGATCACGCGGATCGGCTTGTTTGTGTGCGCGATTTATTGGTCGGTTGCTCGATTCTTCGCCGCTGACATTCTTTCCTTTTGCGCTTTCTCCCTCCACGTTCTACTTGCCGAGAATAAAATTCACCGCGTCCGCGATTATCGTTTCGAATTGTTTTGTATAACTATCATGTAATAATTATTATTACAATAATGATTCCATTAATTTTAATTTTCAACGTAACCGCTATATCGCATGGAAAAACACGATTTCACTGCTGAAGGTAATCGTGGTGAAAATGTATTTATTAAATGTATTACTGATTGCTGCAACTATGAAAACTTGTCGCTGCTTCCTCTAGATTTCTTGGAGTGAAATCTCACTCAAACGGGCGAAAAGTGGCAATTTATCTACTCGAGGTAGTGATATTATTTACTCGATAGTGACAATACTGTCACTCGAAATCCTTGTCATAATTACTATTATATTATATTATATTATATTAAATTTACTATTATATTATGTTATATTATATTATATTATATTAAAGTGAATTAAATCTCTGATCTCTCTATTATCATCGTCTTCATAATTACACTGAGAAAAGAATCTGAAAATTAATAAATATTAGATGGGTACATTTTTTTAAACACATTTACTTAAATGAAAAGAATTTTGATTTAAGTAAATATGTTAATGATACCCATCCAAGAAATATTTGATAATTTGCTAATATTTTTTTCTCAGTGTATTATCATTCGTAAAGTGACTCACAGAGACGGAAAGAAATGAACGCGAGAACCCCTCGACATTCTGTCACGGACGGTGGAATTCGTCGTCGTCGCGTTTGGAATGCGTTTGGCCGACACAGTCGCAATTGATCCGCTCTGGCCGTCGCTAATTAACATCGCGCCCGGTCGATTTTTCAGCGGCGCCGAATAAAAACGTTCGAACGTGTCCGCGGGAGGCGGGTGGCGAATTCCGCAGCGCGGGACACAGCTATCTCCGTCCCGCGGCGCGGCATCTAGATAATAACATTAATAATTGACATCCGGCCGACGTCAAAGGAAAGGAATGCAATATCGAGAGCCGGTGTTAATGTAGCTGCTGGGCGCACCCGGAGGATTCTCCCCAACCCTCGACGCGCCGCTCGCGTGTTTTTGTGTAAGTGTTGCACGCACACACCGACGTGCACACGCGGGTATCATCCCGTGTGTCCTCCGGGGCTCCATAGGAATCGCCGGTAGATATTACCGGCGTGGGCCGTTATTAAAATATCATCCTCTCTCTTTCTCTCCACCCCTCTCTCTCTCTCTCTCTCTCTCTCTCTCTTTCTTTCTCTGTCTGTCTATCTGTCTGCAGACACGACCCCACCGGTATCAACCCCTCCGGGCCGGTTCTCGTCAACGCTCGCGCGACGTTGAAATTCATATCCCTATGTAACCTTCATAAAGCGCGGCGGTATAACGAAGTGCATATTTGCCGGGTCCTTGAGGGTGTCGAGAGTTAACCGCGCTGTAATTCTCGAATGCATACAGGGTGTCCTGGGTGTCCGCGAAGCGCATTCGAATGTACTGTTGCAATGTTTTGTCGGGGCCGGCACGCGATGACTCGGAAGTCACGCGAGATGAACTTCGGCGATTCATGGCGAATCTTGAAGTGCGCGGTTCTAGTGGTGAGAAACGTGGTGCGCGCACTGCAAGTCCAAAGGTGTCACTTTTGCATAAGCGTGCAATTTGGTCGGAGCTCTGTTCGCACGTTTCTTTTACCGTCTCAAGCCACGTCATTGAACGCTTAAGATGTGTAGATTATAATTTAAAACGTCTCGAAGCGTGTTGGATGACGTGACTTGAAACGATAAAAAACATGTGAAAAGAGCTTCAGCCAAAATAACACACTTGGGTTGGCAGTGTGACGACTCGTGTGCAGAATGAAATCTTGCTTTAAGAAAAACAATCGGCGCGGCTGACTCTTAAGTCGCGAGATAGTTCAGGTTGCAATCGTGTACACGGAAAAAACATTTAGTTGGATTAACCAAATTTCTGATGAAATATGAGCAAACTAAGAATCCCGGTACTCCAACCGGAATTTTCTAGCTGGTTTCTATTTCGCCAGAAATTTGGTTAATCCAACCAAACTTCCTTTGCAGTGTAGGGAAATCTTCAAGAAATATTGTAAGACGCGTGAGAAAGTAGCGGTAGACACTTTCCCGAGTTTCACGCGGGTCCAATCGGAACCGAGAGAATTAATTACAGAGATCCTTAAAAGATTGTCGTAAAGACGATGAAATTTTTATTGAGGGAACTTCGGCGTCGAATTGAACGAAGCAGCCGCGGGAAAGAGAATTGTTAGAGAATAATTCGGGGATTTTCGGGGAGTGTATACATCCAGTGGCCGCGCCATCGAGAAAACGCCGGCCTAATCAATGGCGGGGAAGGTGAGAAAACCGAGATCACTGTGGAACGTCGCGCCCTTTTGGGCGAGGCGAAGCAACGCGGCACAATAGGGAACACAGTATCGCGAACAGGAATCTTTTTCTCCCCTCTTCCTCCTCTCTCCCACCCTCCCCGGCCGAGTGATGCTTGTCTTGTATTTCGAGAAGGGTGCGTGTGCAATTTATTGTAATCTCTCTCCTGTCGGGCGCACACGAACGCAAGATCTAACTTCTCTCGGGTGTCTTCCGACGGGGAGCAACCGTATATACCTAGCGTGTATTTTGAGACGCGCTTCGGGGAAGTTAATAAAACTCGTTGCGCTCGAGAAGAGAGCAGCAGCATCAGCGAGGTGAGGCGACGCGAGGCGAGGTATATACACGGCGGACATATGTGCTCATCCACGACGACTCGGTGGAGAGAAACGTCAACTTAAACCAAATAAACCGAGCGGGACGGACGCGTCGGTAAACGAGCGGGTTGAGTAATGTCATTAGGCGATTCAACCTTTCGACTGAATGACGGTATTAATTTCGTCACACGCGCCTGTCTCTTTCGGATATCCATCATCTGCGACTCCTTGGGCGACTCTTTGGTGTAGTCAGCGGAGAATGGGATGCAACACTTTTTCTTTTCAATGAGTTTCGCAATATCCAATAGAAATTTGAATTTCTAATAGGAGTAGAACCTGTGTTTCTCAATCATTTGCAGAAGATATGCCGGGTACCAGACGCGTTTCCGAAGTTCATCGAGGTAAAAATATTGCAATCTATCTTCTCTCTACTGACTACACGCAGTTATATACTGTGCGCTTCATGCAAAAAGAAAATTGCTCTATTAAAATATGGTTAGGTCAGGTTGTGAAATTGTTCGGAAAATTTTTAAGTACTTGATATATTCTAATTATTAAAATGTTCAATAAAGGT